GGACAATCTGTAAGGGGTGGCGGAGGACCCCTTAACTTGTGCAGCCCGTTCTTTGATGTCCCCAACCATAAAGTGGGTATTCTCACTGCTGCCGTCCCACCCCTCCTCTTATCCTTGGAAGTGAATATGCTGCTATGCGGGGCGGAGGTGAGGTGTGTGTCATGCTGTGCAGGGCAGAGGTCCTTGACGCTCTCCTGCTCAAGAACCAGTTTTGATTTATCCAAAATTTTATGCATTTCCACAATTGGCTATTTTTAAGTTCGGTGAGAGATACCGTAATGGGAATGACAAAAATTGTAAAACATCAGAAAACTAATTAACATTAACCATGAGGTTTCCTGCATATATTTGGGGGGAGAAGAAAACAGGTTGTTGCTTCTCTGCTTTCCAGAGAAGGGGTCCTGAGGGTCCCCAGCTCTCCTGGCCTGGGCCAGGTGACCACACCTTCCTGTGGGGTGGTCACTGGCTCAGAAGTCTACAGATTGGGTGACAATGATCTAAAATCTGACCAACACAGACCATAGTGTGGTTAAGGCCTGGGGGTGGGGGTGGGGGCTGGGCAGAGGGTGATTAAGGAGGGGGAATGGGGGACATCTGTAATACTCTCAACAATAAAAAATAAAATAAAATAAAATAAAATAAAGTCTACTGAACAACTGAAGGCTAGAGAATACATGGCTGCTAATTATACTATTATCCTTCCAGTTTGTGGATAATTTTGCAGGGGAGTTGCTATGGCTTCTTTAGCTTTACTCTAAAGAAAGGTTGGTTCTAGCACTTTTGCCCTTTAGAAACTTCTTTAAAATCATAACATTGGTTTCTCCTCTTATTAAACAACATCCATCTATGACCAGCAATCCCATGCTTAGGTATCTACCCGAGAGGAATTAAAACACATCTACACAAAGACTCGGACGTCCATGTTCATATCAGCATGATTTATAAGGGCCGAGCACTGTAAACAATCCGAATACCCACGAAATGGCGACCAGATAAACAAAATGTGCTGTCGCCACAGGGTGGACCACCCACTCAGCAGAAAACGGGGTGTGACGATACGGATGGACCTACAAGACTGTGCTAAGGGAAAGAAGCCATGCTCAAGAATCGCCACATCGTGTGATCCCATTTAGGTGAAATATCTGCTAAAGGCCAACTACAGAGACAGGAAGATCAGCACGGGGACCCCACACGAGTCGAGCTGCCGAATGGTCACCGAGCGCCGCGCTACTACGCACAGAAGTTCCGAAGTACATCTTCCTCTTGTCACTTTGCGAGATGGAAGTGCAAATTGTTACAGTTCTTTTAATATAGGGCACTTTCCTAAGAAAAAAGGCAAAATACGCCCAGTAAGAAGAGCACACATTTGGGAATCTGCGTGCATGCGTGAGGGCATTTATGTTCCTTTATTTAGCAGCTCTGGCCTCAGGCTTCGGGCGGGGCGGGGCAGAAGCAGCGCCAGTTCATAACTTGCTCCCCCGTTAAAGGCTGGCCTCTGGGGAGGAGGGAAACCTGACGGCTCCTGCAGCCATGCCAAGGAGGTCGATGAGCGATCCTGTCAAAAACACTATATTCAATGATTATACCAAGTCAATTCAACATTTACAGAGCACCTACTGTGTGCAGGCTCCGGAGCTACAATAATAGATGGGAAAAGTCCCTGACCTTGAGGGTCACACAGTCTGGGTGGGAGGAAGGGGCGTGGGTAGTTTGGGGTAAAGGAGAGTAGGAAATGTGAGATGTATCCTTTTAGAAATTCTTTTCAATACCAGATAACTGACCCGAGGCTTCCTTGCAGGGTCAACAGGATTTAGGTTTATTTAATCAAATATCCTGTTGGCAATCACAAGCCCTCCGACTTGCGGAATGACGACCTAGTTTATCCACCTTGATATACATGTCTGGGAGCGGGGAGACTCTGCTCCCCTTGAAACTCCTCGGTGCCAAGAGAATGAAGACGACACATGTCCCAATTCCACAGCTGGTCCATCATGATGTCTCCAGGCTCCTCCATGCCCTTTACCGCGAGACCCTTGGACATGATGGTGTCATAAGATGGGAAAACCCTGCCTATGAGGAACAGGCCATTGGATTATGTGCAAGAAGTAATCACTTTATTGTCATAAGTCACTGAAATCTCGACGTTTATTTGTTACAACAGCTAGTGTTATCTAATAAAGAAATCTGTATCTTGATATTGGTGCTGCAGTTACAGAAACTTCAAATATCTGACAGTAGTTTAGCGGTTAGGGGCTGGGTGGCAAGAAAACAAACAAGATAATGTAGCTGGAAAGATTGAGACGCAGGTCACGCGGTGGTGACCTATTGAGTGAAACCGTCACCTGTGATAATACGGGTGACAAAGAGCAAACAGGCTGCTGGAAAAAGAGGCAAAATGGTAATGTGTATTGACTGTTCCACTCCAGAGTTATGGGGGGG